CGGGAGAGGCCACAACAGTGAGAGGCCCAAGTACCACAAAAAAAAAAAAAAACCTACAACAAAGTATACTAAAAGCAAAGGTAATAAATATTCAAAACACACTACCTGCCAATTATTTTACTCTACATATCTATGCTCCTGATATTATTTGCCTATATTGGATCTATATGGTGGAAACACTATATAATGATGTTACTATACATATCTTCCCCACCATACATTCAGGGACCTCAAATAGGCCATGATGCAACTGTTTACACCACAGAAATCAGCAAATGCTACCAATCAGACCGTAACTTATTGCTTTGTCGATGTCTAGACTTCAGAAATTGATGGAGAGAATGTTACGAATGTAGATTAAACTTAAAAATTTGTAGTGTGTGGTGTCTGTAGCTATTACATTGTGAATAGTACAAAAAATTGAGAAATATGCTTCCAATATTCAAAAAACTATTAAGCGCTTCCACATAGAAGTGGCTTATGTCATTGATGAGTGAGTGAGCTTCCAATATATGTCTTCATTGTTTCACATTTGTGAAACAGTTACTCCTTAATGTAATAAAAATGTCAACCAATGTAAACATAGGAACCACATGCACGCTTCAATTGCAGACACAGGTTGGCTATGAGTACAACTCATATCTATACAAAATTGATATAAAAATCAGTGATAGCATTCTTAGAGTACCAACTGGCTATATGGAATAGGAAATAAATTATATTGGGTATTTTATTATTTGTAAATTGAGGGCTTCACATTCTTTATATTAGCAAAACTTATAATAAACTTATAAACATATATACATACAGTCTTTTTTTGTTTGTTTGTTTTACAAAATGCCTGTTGTTGAACATTTTCTAGTACACCATTGACTCAAACCTCTATTCGGTAGAGCCCCTTCTGGTTGCTCTATTTGTTGGGGCTGACACAGTCCTCAGGTGAGGCCATGCCTCCTGAGGCCAGGCCATATGATCATCTCAATAGATGCAGGAAAACCCTTTGATAAAATTCAACATCCATTTATGGTAAAAACTCTCCAGAAATAGGGCATAGTGGGAACATACCACAACATAATAAAGGCCATATACAGCAAGCCCACAGCTAATATCATACTCAACAGTAAAAAGCTGAAAGCATTTCCTATAAGATCAGGAACAAGAGAAGGATGCCCACTCTCACCATTTTTTAAAATTTTATTTTATTTATTTATTTATTTTTGGCTGTGTTGGGTCTTCGTTGCTGTGAGCGGGCTTTCTCTAGCTGTGGCGAGCGGGGGCTACTCTTTGTTGTGGTGCGCGGGCTTCTCATTGTGGTGGCTTCTCTTGTTGCGGAGCATGGGCGCTAGGCACATGGGCTTCAGTAGTTGTGGCTGGTGGGCTCTAGAGCACAGGCTCAGTAGTTGTAGCGCATGGGCTTAGTTGCTCCGCGGCATGTGGGATCTTCCCGGACCAGGGCTCGAACCCGTGTCCCCTGCATTGGCAGGTGGCTTCTTAACCACTGCGCCACCAGGAAAGCCCCTCACCATTTTTATTCAACATGTTTTTGACTTTTGGAGTCACACAGACCTGAGTTTGAATCCTATCTCTGTCATTTACTAGCTAAATACCCTTGTTTAAATTCTCTCACCCTTTGATTTTAAATCTGTAAAGTGGAGATAATTATAGGACTAACCTCATAGGTTGTCTGAAGATTTAGCAAGCTAAACATGCAAAGATTTAACATAGGCCCTGGCACATGATAAGTCCTCAAAAAATGGTAGCTGTACTTTTTTTCCTTCATCCTCTCTCCTGCCTATTAGGATGCATCAAGCTTCAGACCATGGCTCTCTACCTTTTCTGTTTATATCCATTTAGCGTATGATTGACCTAACCAGCACATTCCTTGATGATGCACAGATCTCCCTCTCCATCTTGACCTTCTCATTAGAGCATCCATCATGCACATTTTTAACTGACATTAGGACATAACATAGGAAATATCCTCCTGCTCATTATCTGACCATCCTCAAATTAGTATGCCCTTCCTATTTCCTCACTTCCATCGGTGGTACCCCTATTTGTACTTGATCTTAGGCTTCAGAGTTGCAGTCTTTACTCCCTATATCTGATTAGTCATTAAACCCTACTTATTCTTTCTCGCAGCTTCAGTTCTCGTGACTAATGGTGAAGCTAGCTGAGAAGCCGTTTGGTGCACTCCCATTCAGCCTCCTCAGGGCTCCCTGCCCTTGATATCCTTGTTTTTCCCTTTGTGCTTTTGCTCATGGTACTCAAGGGACACTGATGATCTTTAAGTTAGCCTCTTATTATTTACTGAATTATATTGCTCTGAACTCTGAAATACCTATGTCTTTTATCTTCAACTGGGTTGTAAATTCCTTGAAGACAGAAGCAGGGCATAAACTCAGAATTACTGTCACAGTGCTAAACACAGTGCTCAATAAAGGTTTCCCAATGGAATGAATTGATTGAATATAACCCTTTCTTATTAAGAATACATAATAGCTTCCTATTGCCTATTAAGTCAATCCCAAGCTCTTCAGACTGGCCTTCCAGGTGTACTGTCAGCTGACTCCATCTTACCTGCTCTTAACTTTAGTTCTTTCCTGACATGGGCCCTTCATTGAGGTGACCTTGGTACACACACACACACATACACACAACTGGGTATTAAAATACTCATCCTTCTGTCTCAGTTTTGCCTGAAGTCCCAAGACATTGGGTACTTACCACTCACATTGAAAAATGCAATGCTAGACCACCCTGGATGTTGGAGTTTGAGTTCAGTCAGACTCTTTCCCTGGAGGTAGGAGACAAGGTGCGTAAAAGTTCCAATCCTCTAATGAAGGATTGGTCTTTCCAGTAACCAGTCCACCTAATGAAGCTCTCTAGGAGCCCCATTAAGACTCACTTCATTAGCATAATTGAAATGGTGGAAAGGAGCTCTTTGTCAAGAACCAGAGGCAAAGACCAAACATGTATTTCTTATTATACCACACCCACAAATACCTCCTTTCCAACTGCAGCTTGAAACAAGCCTAGGCTATGGGAGAGGAGAAACTTTTAAATAAAATTTGGAGTTTCAATTATTCAACTAAAATGGACATTTTTATTGCTGAAATGACATTTTTCTCCTATCTAGAGTGACTGGAGTACTTTTTATTATTAAAAATTAAGTAGAGGGCTTCCTTGGTGGCGCAATGGTTGAGAGTCTGCCTGCCGATGCAGGGGACACGGGTTCGTGCCCCGGTCCGGGAAGATCCCATATGCCGCGGAGCAGCTGGGCCCGTGAGCCATGGCCGCTGAGCCTGCGCGTCTGGAGCCTGTGCTCCGCAATGGGAGAGGCCACAACAGTGAGAGGCCCGAGTACAGCAAAAAAAAAAAGAAAAAGAAAGAAGAAAAATTAAGTAGAAACAGGTGTGAGTCCTGCCTGAGGTATCATGCCAGGAGTGGAGAAGGGTTCCAGGCAGTGGGTTTGTGTGAGCAGGAGAAAGCGATAATGAAGCTGTGTTTTTGTTTTACCCTTTGAAGTACCTCTCTTTCAACACGACTGTTACATTTGCTGATACTGCACATGTAGACAGGCCTGTAAGTGTATGCAGGCAGGCACACAACACACACACACACACACGCATGCACCTTTCTACCATTTAGGATCTACAGTTGAACTCATCTCCTCCAAGAAATCATTCCTGGTTAGCGCAACTCACTCAGCTCTCTCTCTTGGAATTTCTATAATTCCTCTTTTTCAAACCCTATAATCTAACACTTATGTATGTGAACCAACCATACATCTCCATTGATCTTCTCTTGTTTCATTTACATGTTTTTGCTTCTCATTCTTACAGTAAGCCTCTCACCAGAAACCAGTGTGTTTTACTTTGGGATATGTCTCATATATTCCTCCATTGTCACTTAATAAAGGCTGCATGATTGATTAATCAGATATGTCCAAATTTCATGGTAACATCAAAGGTTGGCTAAATATCCAGTTTAGTCTAAAACCTAAAGCTAAATCTTTCTGCCTCCTGATGGAAATGCTGGCCACCTCGACTCGGCTTTCCAGTTTTATTTGGTTGGTCAACTGTTGAACAGAGTGTGCTAATGAAATAACTAATCTTCATGTGATCTTTTATTGCTGATGAAGGCTAAAATACCAGTGAGGGTGATTTGGTACGTGACATTAGTCCTCTTCAAGCACTGCACTGGGAAGACAGCTTTGGTTAACTTTCATGTTACTCTATAGTTTGTTTTACCTCATAGTCACCAGTAGGCTTGAGTTCTTGGATTACTAACATTCAGCTTTTTGCTAATAAAATTTTCTGTAGAACTAGGAGAATTTCCTAGACAGCTGGAAGTGTATTTTGGGACCGGCCTCTCTCAAAATTGCTTTTACGAGCAGGGGATGCATTTCGTCAGGCCCCCACCCTCTTTGTTAGCACCTCTTTTTCACTTGCTCCTGGATGATGAAGGAAATTAGTCTTATGTTATTAATCCTCCCATCCACAATGGGGGCTGACAGTGTGTTTGAATACTTAAAGGCATGAGACTTCTCAAAAGCATTTCAGGGCTCCAAAGAGGCTTATCGGTCCATGAAGTCTTTTTTTTTTTTTTTTTTAATAATTTGGTTGTGGCTTTTATTTATTTATTTATTTATGGCTGTGTTGGGTCCTCGTCTCTGCGCGAGGGCTTTCTCCAGTTGTGGCAAGCGGGGGCCACTCTTCATCACGGTGCATGGGCCTCTCACTATCGCGGCCTCTCTTGTTGCGGAGCACAGGCTCCAGACGCGCAGGCTCAGCAGCCGTGGCTCACGGGCCCAGCCGCTCCGCGGCACGCGGGATCCTCCCAGACCAGGGCCCGAACCCGCGTCCCCTGCATTGGCAGGCAGACTCCCAACCACTGTGCCACCAGGGAAGCCCCATGAAGTCTTGATGTCTCTGTGCGTGGAAAAGATGAATCATATATGTGCATCGAACAGATGAAACTCTGTGGTGTCTCTGCAGGTGATACAGGCTTGCCATTCTTGCCCCAAAGCAATCGAAGTTGTCGTCAATGCCTATGAACATATCAGGTGGAACGTAAAGTGGAAAAGAGCTATCCCTGATGATGACTTGGAGGTAAAGCATCAATTCACTTCCTGTGGGTTTTGCTCTAAAGTACTTCCATAGTGCAATGGGAGTGCAGGAAATTCTAATTCAAAAAATGGGTTTTGAGAATGCTTTTAAGAATTTGAGGATGCTACACAAATACAGCAAGACAAAGGGTTATAAAATGCAGGTGTGAGAATAAATAAATAAATAAATAAATAAATAAATAAGTAGGTAGTGCTTAGGAGCATCTTGGGAGTTTCTCCATCTAAGGGCAAGTTGAACAGTTATATAAAGGTGACAGTTTTACTTTCTTCCCATCAATTTAGATGAATTTAATAATAAGAAGAAGAATATTTAGGATTGTTCATATAGCATTTTTATCAGAAGTTTAAATTGTTTGTGTAGATTATGTCACTCACTTTAAAAAATTGCTCTATTATTATTTATATAGATTAATTAATATTAATAATTATATAGATTAATTAATTATATAGATTATTTCATTCACTTTTAAATAACCTGAAGTCTGTAATAGGCAGGTAACAGAGTATCAACAACTTTGTGATGAGTCATGCAGAAAGCCATTGGCAAAGCTGAGTCCTCATGCTGCATGTGGACTTTGCTGCCTTTGTGAACCAGCCCTTCCACCTAGCCTCATGTTCTTGGTTTTAGCTGTCACAGGCTGTCCCCAGCACGGGAGAGATGTTGGGCACAGATTACAAAGCTCACTGGGCCTAGAGGCTAATGGCTTAGGTGCAATCTTATTCTGCTACTTATTAGCTATCTTAGCTTTAAAAAGTTACTTAACCTGCCTTAGCTTCATTATTCATGTTTAATTTTGCCTCCCCATCAGAGACCGTGGAAAGCTGCCATTATGTATAAAGTAGGGACTAAACACATCACTATTGATTTCTATTGACATAAACTCTGAGGCTTTTCTGACTTTAACATGTGTTGCCTTCCTTTTCAGAGATACTGGGATTTTTACCACTCTCTCTTCACTGTGTGCAGTAACTCTCCAAGGACTCTCATGCATTTATCAAGATGTGCCATTCGAAGAACGTTGCACAGCAGATGTCACAGAGTAATTCCTTTGCTTTCCCTCCCATTGTCATTGAAAAAGTACTTGCTTTTAGAGCCAGAGGGAATCATTTATTAAGCCTTATGAGACAGAAGATCCCAATCCTAGATGTTTAAGTGGACTCGCTGAGTAGTTTGCATAAATAAAATGGTACTTGGGTTGATTATAACACTTCAGGGATTTAAAAACACTTTACAAACACTATGTCATTAATCCTAGAGTATCACGGTGAGGGGAAATAAACAAGAGGTAAAGTTAAGGTAGTCTCAAAAACAAGAGCGTATCCAGAAGGCCCTGACATAACAATAATAATATGTATAGTGCTCTTACTTGGTGCCTGCTATAATTTTATATAATTTTATATAATTTTATAAGATTTTTCATATGTTATCTCATTTGAAATGGGACCCAGGTTTTCTTACAACCAATTTCATCCTCTCCCTTATCAGTAATAAGTTTACATTACCGTTCAGTTGGCAAAATGTTAGGCTTTAGGATGGGCCTCTTAATCTTGGTGTCCTCCACCCACTCCCACTTAGCAGAAATTACTATGGCTAGTTTTGCAAACTCCTTTCCATATACTAAGCTCCTCAACTTACTTTTAGTGAAGAAAGCACGAGCATACTCAAAACAAAGAAATCTTTGAGTCAAATTAGAAATGAAAAACAAAGATCAGTCCACTTGAAAGTCAAAATGGACATTTGAACACTCTCATTGAACCAAAGACTGGAGATGCAAAGATGAGTCCGAAGCGAGGACTCCTGCCCTCCAGGATCTCACCATTGAGCAGAGGATCCGGACATATAAGCAGGGAACTGCAGTGTCAAATGTCAGAGGCAAGAGTAGAGGTGCAGATTCATTCTTAATGCTTGCCTTTCAAAGTCATGTTTCTGACATGAAGTGCGGTTTTCTTTGAAGCATGATGATAAAGAGTGAAGGGATTGTGTGTAGTAGAGAGATCTCCGGCTGCTATGAGTGTAAATGTAAATGGATTCACTTTAAGTTTCCAGGCACATGTACTTATTTTTATTTTAGGATGATTTCATGCATAGTGCTTTCCCAGACTCCCTGGGGGAAATATTGCACACTCAGTGGCTCCCATGTGTGTGTGACAAGGAAGTTTAGGAAAATGTGTGCAAGGAAACGTGCGAAGGGAAAGACTTAGGTTGATTACTTTGGTCTTTTTATGTAACAGACTGACATTTCAGAGCATTTTAGCTAGAAGATAAGGGGCACTTTGCTGGCGATGGCCAGCTGCAGAAAGCACATGGAAAGACTTTGAAAATGGTAAAAGTTTGAGAAACTTGGAAAGACTAGTGTGTTAATCAGGTTTGTTAGCAGTTTGCAGAAAGAGAAACGTAGATGATTAACCTCTGGACCTCATGGTTTATGAGGCCAACTTCGCTTCACTTTTTGTTCTTGCTAATCACTTTTAGATAAGCTCATTGACTCTTAGCATTGCCTTTTAGAGGTTACAGCAGAAGTAATTAAGCACAAACAAATCTATTTGCCAGTTATGAGCAGGGTTTTTTTTTTGGTTGTTGTTGTTGTTGTTTTTGTGGTGGTTGTTGTTTTTTTGTGGTTCTCCATCTTGTTTAACCTTAGATGCTTGAGTTTGCAGTAGAGATGATGTCAAATATTCCACTAGCCTGACACCTAGACTCTGCTTCGCATACTGGGATTTGCATATTCCTGGTGCCATGTAGGAAAAATCATAAGTGGAAACAATAATCTTTCTGAAGTATCAGTTCTACTCAGATATTTTGGGAGAAATATTTTATACTAAAATAAGATCTGTATTATGGAATAGAATACTGTATTTGTATGAACAATTCATATAAAATATGATCCTTCAAAAAACAGTTTGCTTACAGCAAGTGGTGTTAGAACACATTCTAGAATGCCAGTCAGAGGTGCTGGGAGAGGATGTTCCTTGCATGGGGAAGTAGCATATCTCAGTTGGCCTGCTGTGCTTAAACATTCTGTGTTAATCTAGCATATGATACAGGACTACTTGCTTTGAATGGTTTATTTGTGGATTTAAAGTTATTTCTCCTCATCTTTGAACTTTCATTTAGAGGACTTAAATAAAGCTCTTCTCTTTCCTTTCATCTTTGTGAGTTATTTGCCGATAAGACGTTTTCCTAGCTGACTTTTCAGCAGTTAGACTGAAGAACTCTACATGATCCATTGCTTTATTCAACATTGGGAAAGAAAAAGAGAATGAGGAAATGTGCCTGTAAATAAATAATACTTTCAAAGGAAAGTAAAGGGTAAACACAAATAAAACACAGGCTATTGCTATAGGAACAAGAGTATTTTAATAATAATAAATTGTACTGAATCATACTCTTCCATCTGTCACTATCTCTGTCCTCCTGGGTTTCTAATTTCTTTTCATTCTCACCATTCAAGCAACCATGGGCAGGAGAAACAGAGGAAATTATATCCCGATGATACCATTGTTACTTTTTGTAAATAGTCACTTAATGACTGTAGATTACATAGGAAGAAGAATCTTTGATATGAGGGAAAGACCACCCGTCCAGTTTTCTCCCTTTTCAGGAGGTAGACACACTTGAGTTCTATTTTTTAATCACCTAGTGTTACATTGTCACTTTGTCCTTCCATCCTGAACCCAGCGGCTTCTAATAAAAAACACAGCAGTAAAAAGCTGATTGTAAGGATGAGAAAAGTAACAAACCATTTGCAGTGGCTTATCAATGTTGGAAAAATCAGCTGAGCCTTATATTTTTGTTACACATCTGATTGTTTATGAAGAACTCTTGAAATTTTGAACGGCACACTTTCAAAACTTTTTTGAAAAATCCAGTTACTCACTTATTTTCTTTGAAACACAGACACCATAGCTAATATATGGAAGGAATTCATTGTCACTTCCTTTGGAGTATAAACAGATTCATTACAGTTAGATGTTAAGAATTTTGGCTCTGGTGCCTGTCTATCCGGGTTTATATCCTGACTCTCATCCTTATTTGACCCATTATCTAGAGAAAATGACATGCTTGCTGCATGCCTCAATTTCCTCATTTTGGGAATGATAATGGTACCTACTTCATAAAACTTTTATATGATTGTTTTGAGGTGCAGGGGAGGAAAAAGTTTAACCTGACTCTTTTAGGGTCCTTGGCTGGGTCAAAGACAGATTAACAGGAGGGAAGCATACAAATTTACTTAATGTAAGTTTCACATGACATGGGAGCCTTCATAAGGAAATGAAGACCCTGAAGAAACAGACTTGAGTATTTTTATGCGAGGTTTGATGATGAGTGGACAGTTGTGTAGCAATATGATAGGTTAAGGAGGATGAGGTCAGTGTGGTAAACTGGGGGAAACCGGGACCTGTTCGTTAGGATTCCTCTTGGTGTCCCTTTGTCTTAGAAGATAAGGATGCTCCTTTCCTCCAGATTTAGGGAGGGCACCTCCCACAGGAGGGTTTTATGATTTGTTTCAGGGAAGAAGGGGAGGGGATGGTCAGAGTGATCTTCCTGCTTCTGCTGTTTTCTTAAACTCCTTCAGCTTAAATTAGACACTATGCCAAGGTGCTTTCTATGGGAACAGTGTGTCTGGAGCCCCATCAGAGGGTTAAATTGTTAGTACATTAAAGCACACAGAACAGAGCATGACATTCAGTTAGCGTTTTAATTTTGTTATTGTCATAATCGTTATTATTTAGGGAGAACTTTCTACCAGTGAGTAATATTTTCTTAGAGTGAAGCTACAGCTGAAGGTGATGTGTGGTAGATTTCTGTTCACTTTGGGAAATACTTTTTGAGCTTCTTCTATGTGCCAGGCGCTTTGTTGGCTGCTGGGAATCAAAGGGGGAACAAGGCAAGCCAGGTCCCTGACCTTCCTGGGCTTTTTTGAGGTGGAGGATGGAGACGGAAATAACATTGATGTGGAGGATTAGCAAAGAGGCAAATTGATTAATTTGTGAAACTTTGCCCTTTTGTAAGTGGGTTTATCAAGGATGCAATCACTCCTTTTACTATTTAATGAAGGCTGTGGAGTCACTTGAAAATGTATCCTGTGGATAAAGAGGGTTGATCAGCTGTTTCCATCTTCATGGAGGGAAGAGTAGGTGAAGGTTAACTTTGTAGCCAGAGGAGTATAGATTGGCAATGAGATTCCCAGCAGTGAGGGTTACTGCATATCAGAATGAATGAACAGGGAGGATTGGCGGATTTCATTTAATTATTCTTTCACTTTCAAGAATTTATTCAGTACTAATATGTGTGTGGTTCTGTGCAAAATGTGGAAGGAAGAGGGGAGTGTTGGTACCAATTCACTGCAAGATTCACTTGCAGTAGCTCAAAGTTTTTGTTCGCTTGTTTGTTTTTTACTATGTAGTAAGAATAAAAGGTATACAGTGGAAAACACAGGAAGAACGCTCTTTGACATAAGTTACAGCAAGATCCTTTTTGACCCACCTCCTAGAGAAATGGAAATAAAAACAAAAATAAACAAATGGGACCTAATGAAACGTAAAAGCTTTTGCACAGCAAAGGAAACCATAAACAAGATGAAAAGACAACCTTCAGAATGGGAGAAAATATTTGCAAATGAAGCAACTGACAAAGGATTAATCTCCAAAATTTACAAGCAGCTCATGCAGCTCAATATCAAAAACACAAACAACCCAACCCAAAAATGGGCAGAAGAGCTAAATAGACATTTCTCCAAAGAAGATATATAGATTGCCAACAAACACATGAAAGGATGCTCAACATCACTAATCATTAGAGAAATGCAAATCAAAACTACAATGAGGTATCACCTCACACCAGTCAGAATGACCATCATCAAAAAAATCTAGAAACAATAAATGCTGGATAGGGTGTGGAGAGAAGGGAACCCTCTTGCACTGTTGGTGGGAATGTAAATTTATACAGCTACTATGGAGAACAGTATGGAGGTTCCTTAAAAAACTACAAATAGAACTACCATATGACCCAGCAATCCCACTACTGGGCATATACCCTGAGAAAACCATAATTCAAAAAGAGTCATGTACCAAAATGTTCATTGCAGCTCTATTTACAATAGCCAGGACATGGAGGCAACCTAAGTGTCCATCAACAGAGGAATGGATAAAGAAGATGTGGCACATATATACAATGGAATATTACTCAGCCATAAAAAGAAACGAAATTGAGTTATTTGTAGTGAGGTGGATGGACCCTAGAGTCTGTCATACAGAGTGAAGTAAGTCAGAAAGAGAAAAACAAATACCATATGCTAACACATATGTATGGAATCTAAAAAAAAAAAAAAATGGTTCTGAAGAACTTAGGGGCAAGACAGGAATAAAGACACAGACATAGAGAATGGACTTGAGGACACAGGGAGGAAGAAGGGTAAGCTGGGACAAAGTGAAAGAGTGGCATGGACATATATACACTATGAAATGTAAAATAGATAGCTAGTGGGAAGCAGCTGCATAGCACAGGGAGATCAGTTTGGTGCTTTGTGACCACCTAGAGGGGTGGGTTAGGGAGGGTGGTAGGGAGACACAAGAGGGAGGGGATATGGGGATATATGTATATGTATAGCTGATTCACTTTGTTTTACAGCAGAAACTAACACAACATTGTAAAGCAGTCATACTCCAAAAAAGATGTTAAAAAAAAGGTATACAGTGGGTTTTTAAAACTAGATGCTATCTAACTGAGCTATTTTTCTGTCAGCCTGCCATAAAATGGTTGATTAGAAATGATTTTCAGAATTTATATTTCATTGATAAATTGCCTTCTTCCTATGTTTGGTCACACTTGTCACTGATGAGAATCAATGCATGAAATATGCAAAAACATCCTTCAAGAGGCAGTTGATTATTTTTTCTTTTCTTATTTTTTCCTTTTTCTTTCTTTCTTTTAAATTTTAGTGACACTAAGTAGATTAGGTGTGCTGAAATTTCTTCTTTAATAATTGGTTTTCTCAGATAGAGGTATGCCTCAATGATATTGTATAACAACTATGCAAATATATGCTAATCCAGCCAAGGAAATGTAATAATGATGCTACCTTGTGCTTTTTAAATTAAAGACACCAGTGGATTCGTTCTTAGTGCTTAATCAAGCACAGAAGAATTGACAAAACAGAACTATCATCGTGGGGCGTTTAAGGTGATTTTGAAGTAGAAGTTAGGTACCAGGGGTCTTCCTAAGGTCCAGGAGCCCAGACATTGCCCAGAGTCACAAGGGAAGACGTTTATTCGCTGCCCCATATCAGATTTCAGGGAATCTGAACCTGTTTAATTGAGAAGAGGCGGGAACAAATGGAGATTATAATCAATTTAATTCAGGAAGAAAGACAAAAACACATAGCTGCCTTTCAAAACGCAAACTCTCTCTCTCCCCTGTTCAGGGTCCTGGCAGGACGACTTTCATGGGCTGCATGAGCCGAACTCCTTTCCCCTGGCTTCTTGGTGGGTTCAGTGGGAAAACCAGCCGGAGACTGAAGAGCAGAAGGAGACAGAGATGGGGACACTTCCAGGCTCCTTCCCTGCTGAGCCTTCTCTTGATGGTGGCTGAATTCCTTCCTCAAGGCCACAGCTCCTGTTATGAGCCCTTCTCCTAAGCTACCGTTCTCCACTTTTTTCCTTCAGACCTAGGGTAGTCAAGGCTTCCTCTTGTTGCCTCTGTCCCAGGTGCTTCATCATTCCTTGCTATCTACATTTCTATAAATATTCCTTGGTGAAATTCTCTTCAATCACCCCTATTGAGTAAGCAGTTTATTTCCTATAGGGATCTTGACAAATGCACAAACACACATAAGACTGTGATACGTCAGTGAGAGCTCAGTTGGTGGTCATAGTAAGTGCTGTCAGTGTTGAGGGAAGAGAGGGGTCACTGTGGACCAGTGGTCAGGCAGGTGGACTTGAGCTGTGAACTGAAGAAGGGTGGGGTTGGGTAATAATTTGAGTAAAAGTAGCACAGCGGAAGGGGTGGAGTTTAAGGTGAGTAGCCTCAGTGAAGGGTTAACGCTATAACATACAATGAGCATTCACTGTCACCGAGTAGACAAGTTGGACACAAGTAGAAGATGAACATTTGTTGTAGAGAGTAGAGAATAAGGTTGGCAGGACTGGGTGGGATGAAATTATGAAACATCTTGAGCCATGGGGAAGCAGCATGGGAAACCAATGGAATATTATTATTACCATAATTATTCTTTTGCAACCCTATAACTTTTATAGTAATAATAATTATGATACAACTACATAACATTTATATGATATGATTTTCAGAGCATCTTATGAGGCTTAATGCAGATAACTGCCTTTACCATTAACCTCAACTCTCCTTCCATGGCAAAATATATATATACAATTCTGAAGATTTAGATGTGAAAAAAATCTAAACAAAAGATGAATAATCCCTTTTCTTACCATGTAAAACACTCCAATCAA